GAGTAGTTCTTTCTACAAAACTTAGTAAGTATTTGCAACTAAGAAGATATTTAAAATGTTTAATGGTATGAACAAAATCACATTTATCCACATAAATGTATTTATATATTTACAGCTATAAAGATTTGAAAGTAGAGGTTTGACCATCAACAGTGTATATAAAGTTTTATGTTTTGTTAACAAGGAAATAATGAATATTCATTTTCTTTTTATGAAAACTCTATGTGAAAAGTACATAGAATATGTACCTGTTGTACATTTCAGTTTTCTTGGAAAAAGTCATTTAGTTTTATAATAACAGTATCTAGGTGTGTTAAAAACATACTTGATTTCTTTTATCACATGTAATCTCTTCAGGTGGCAGATAGATTATTTTCTCTATCTTTTATATTTATCTCCATAGCACCTTATAAGGTGCTCTGCAGTATAATAAACTTTTAGTACATATTGTTGACAGGCTCTTTATTTTGCTTTCAAAAAGAAATGATTCCTTTTTTAATGGCTTATATGTTATTCTTTTTCCAGAAATTTTCTGTGGAGTATAACACATATAGAAAAGAATACAGGGGTTCCTGGGGGGGTGGGGCTCAATTGGTTCCGCATCTGAATCTTGATTTCAGCTCAGGTCATGATCTCACAGTGGTGAGATGGAGCCCATTTGGGGCTCTGTGCTAGGCTTGGAGTCTGCTTAAGATTCTCTCTCTTCCTCTCCCTCTGCTCCTCTCCCACCCTCTCTTTCAAAAAAAAATACAGAAGACAAATGTACAGATCAATGAATTGTCGCAAAGCCAACACTCATGTAATTGCCACCTAGTCGCGAAAAGTGCATTGCTAGCCCCCCACAAGCCATATCCCATCCTCCCAGCCCCCCAAAAAACTTTCTGCCAAGCAATGTGCCTTCTTCCTCTAAAAACCAAACATTTCCCTAGACTTTTAACTTTATAATCTAGATCTAAGTGTTTGAATATCACAGAAATGAATAGTACATATTATTTTGTACCTGATTCATTTATTTTTAAATTTTTGAGAGAGAAAGAGAACAAGCCAGGGAAAGGAGGACAATAGAAAGGAAGACAAGAGAAAGACAGAAAATCTGAAGTGGGCTCCGCGAGAACAGCAGAGAGCCCAATGTGGGGCTCAAACTTAGGAACCATGAGATCATGACCTGAGCCAAAGGCAGATGCTTCCCTGACTGAGCCACCCAGGAACCACTGTATCTGATTCTTTTATTTGTGAGAGTCATCTATGTTTCTGCAGTATCTGAAATTCTTTTACTTAAATTGCCATAGAACATTTTATTGTATGAAAATGCCACAAAGTACATGGTACCATTCTATTATTGATGGACGTTTGGATTGTTTGCACATTGGAACTATGCTGAATGATGTTGGTGAGAATGTTCTTGTGTATGGCATGGTGCACATATGTGGTGAGTTTAGAATAGGAGTGAAATTGGTTAGGTTATAAGGCATGCACAAATTCTGCTTTAATAGACACTGCAAAACCATTTCCCAATGTGGCTGCACCAATTTACACTCCCAAGAGCAGTGATTACGAAGCTCCTCTTCCTCACCAACTCTTGGCATTATTATTACTTGCTTTAGTTTAAGCCAAAAATGGTCAATATACAGTGGCTTTAGTTATCATTTCCCTGATGACTAACAAAATTGAACATCTCTTCTTCATATGGTTATGAACTTTGTATATCTCATTTTTTTCCTGAAGTGTCTATTGAATTTTTTTCTTCTCTATTGGGATGTCTGTCTTAAAAAAATTAAATTATAGTAGTGCTTTATCTATTTTAGACATAATTTTTTTGTCAGAAAAATGTATTGCAAAGGTATTTTCCATTATGTGTCTTGCCTTTCACATTCTTTTTAAAAATTTTTTAACTTTTAAGTTTATTTATTTATTTTGAGAAAAAGTTTAAGTGAGAGACTGACAGAGAGAGGGGGAGAGAGAGAATCCCAAGCAGACTCCTTACTGTCAGCACAGATCCCCAACAAAGAGCTTGATTCCACAAACTGCGAGATCATGAGCTGAGGTGCAATGAAGTCTTTTGTTCAACTGACTGAGACACTCAGGCACCCTGCCTTTCACATTCTCAATGACTCTTTTGACAAATAAGAGTTCTAAATGTAATCTAGTTTATCAATTTTTTCTTTTACAGTTAATACTTTTTGAGTACTCTTTGTGTAAAGACTTTGCTTTCTTCAAGATCATAAAGATCTTTCCTAAATTATCTTCTAAAAGATTTATTGTTTTACCCTTTACATTCAGATTTATGATCTCCCTAAAGTAGAAAGCAATATAGTAGTCAAAATATCTTTTTATTCCATAAAAATATCCAATTTTAGGCATAGAGCATATAGGATGTTGCCTTTCAAAAGTCCAACTCCACCCATGGTAAAGGTTACCAACCACTCTTACTTACAGCAGGTCTGGATTTTATTTTTTTACCCTGTTTCTTTGATACTGTCAGATGCCTCTTCAGCTTTTAAGACTCCCAGAATCCTTTTTCAGAAACAGCAACTCCAAATAACAGGTTAACTTCTTTGGGTTTATCTTCACCTAGATCTTGCCCCTGGAATTCTTCATTGTCTTGTTAGCTCTATGATTGCTTCAAAAGAATTTTAACTATATATTTTATTCATCTTTCCTACTATAATTATTAGAAGCATTGGTCTAAATTGCTTAATACATCATCATGGAAATTCTCATCCCATTTATTTAAAAAAATTAATGTTGACTTTACTCTTACTATATGTGTGGTCTTTGATAAGTATTTTCAACCCTGTGAAGTTCAATTTCTTCATTTGTAAAATGAGAATGATAGTACCTATTTCAGTTATTGAAAAACTTAATATGAAATAACGTATATAAAAACATTGGAAGAGATGATATAAGGCAGGTATATTTTCAGTAAGTGGCAGCTGTTATTTTTGTTATATGATGATAATAATAATTACTAAGATTAATAATTGTTATATGATGATGAGAATAGCAGTACTTTTGCATAACTCTATCACACTGCCCTAATCTTTTTTTGTTATTGTTGTTCTAAATAAATTTTATTATTTATTTATTTATTTAAACCCAGGTTAGTTAAAATATGGTGTAATAATGATTTCAGGAATAGAATTTAGTGATTCATCACTTAGTTATAACACCCAGTGATCATCACAAGTGTCCTCCTTAATGTCCCTTATCCCTTTAGTTCATCCCCCATCCAACACCCCTCTAGCAACCCTCAGTTTGTTCTCTGTATTTAAGAGTTTCTTATGGTTTGTCTCCCTCTCTGTTTTTATATTATGTTTGCTTCCTTTCTCTTATGCTCATCTGTTTTGTATCTTAAGTTCCACATATGAAAGAAATACTACCTTTGTCTTTCTCTGACTTATTTTGCTGAGCATAATATACTCTGGTTTCATCCATGTTGTTGCAAATGGCAAGATTTAATTCTTTTTGATTGCTGAGTAATATTCCATATATATATGTATGTATATATACATACATACATACCACATCTTCTTTGTCCATTTATCTGTCGAGGGACATTTGAGCTGTTTTCATACTTTGCCTATTATCAATAGTGCTGTTATAAACATTGAGGTGAATGTGCCCCTTTGAAACAGCACTCCTGTATCCTTTGGATAAATACCTAGTAGTGCAATTGTTGAGTCATAGGGTAGTTCTATTTTTAATTTTTTGAGAAACCTCCATACTGTTTTCCAGAGTGGCTGTACCAGTTTGCATTTCCACCAGCAGTGCAGAAGGGCTCCGCTCTCTCTGCATCTTCACCAACATCTGTTGTTGCCTGAGTTGTTAATTTTAGCCATTCTGACAAGTGTGAGGTGGTATCTAAAATGAACCAGAAAGCAGAATGAAACTCGAATAAAATTACATCCAGTTTCCCCTAGAACTTCCGTACACTAAGCAGGTGGAAGAACTTGTGCTGTTCTTCCAGGGGATGTGCTTAGAAGGTGCAACTGGGTGTGGCTTGGTGTAACAGCTCTGTTCTCCAGTAGTTGGCTCTGCTTAGCTTACTGGTGTGGATCAGTGTGGTGAGCATGCACTTGTGCATGTATGTGCACGCACGGGAGAGGTGGGGTTGGTTTCATCCAGCTCCCTAGTCTCTGGTAGAGGAACTTTATACTCTCACTACCTCTGATCAAGCACCCCACCTCTCCTTTGTCTCAGGCCTCCATCCACTCCCTGACTCCACCCTGTCTGTGTCCAAGCCCTCAGCCTGCCAGGTGGTACCTCCCTCCAGAGTTTTATCTCTGATGGGGTTGTGTTTCAAAACCCCATACTTCAGAGATCTCTGCAGCCTGGACCTGTGTTGACTCTCTAGGGGAGGGCTTTGCTGAGCAAAGGCAGGGTGCTATCTTGTCTCAGAAAATGTTCATGTGGTTGTACAGTGGCAGAGGTTCAGAGATTATAACAAATCACAACACATAGCTGATTCCAGATTTCACCACACTCTGATCTTTCTGTCCCAATACCAGCAAACATGGCTGTTCTCTGGGGTCCCCTGGGACCTTTGCCTGTGTGGGGACCATATTGTCTCTACCAAATGCATCTCAAGTAGGGGAACCACTTCTCCCTATGTGGCAAATGGACCCCTCAGACCCTGCTGCCTGCTCCTGGGGAGTTGCCCTACTTCCTTACCTGAGGACTGCCAGACACCGGGTTCTGGAACTTCAGGCTCTGTACTCCACTGTGTTTAGAATCTTGGTGTATTGAAACTTCCTCCTTTCTTCCTGTCAGTGGTTTGGGGCAACAGATTTCTTGTGCATTCCCCTACGAGTGCCTTCACTCTTTCTCTCTCTTTCTCTCCAGCTCCTTTCAGGCGAGTGTTTTTCCTGCACTCTCCCAATGTGCTGCACTCTCCCCATTTCTCTGTCCTTCCTCTGGAGAAACATCTCCCTACCCTCTATGGCTTTTCTCTCCCCCAATTCACCTTTCTGCACCCTGTACCTTCTGAATTCGGTGGTTCAATGTATGCAGATGACTGTGTTAATCCAGATCAATTTCCGAGGTGTGCAAAATGGTTTGGTGTTGATTTAGCTGCATTTCAGGTACAAGACAGACTGAGGGTCTGCATGTTACTCCTCCATCTTGATGACCACACTGCCCAAATCTTCTAATCTAAAGGGGAAATAAATTAATCTGACAACACACAGGCTTCAAGTAACAATTGTTTCCAATTTTTAGATTTGCCCAAGCCATACTTTCTAATAATTTATTCTGGATTTCTTAAACCTAAAATTGGTGGCAAACTCATGATTTTAAATATCAACTTTACTCATGTAAAAAATAAATTGTATTATATATCTCTTCTTGTATTTCTCTCATTTTATAATATATCAAAATTCCGTAGACATTAGTTATAACGCTGCAACACTGTCTCTTGTAAGTACTGTTACTAATCCATCTTACAAGAAGTCTGAAACTTATTGAACAGCAATTTGGTCTCTTATAATCTTTTTATTAATGTTGGGCTTCAGTTCACTATATTACAAGACTGGCAAAGCATGTCAATTTCCCCTTAATTTTCCCCTGTAGGAACAGATTATATAATCAAATTGTATTTTCAGCAATAAAAATTACCAGTGCACAGGAAATTACATTTTACTCTAGAGGACTTATAGGGAAGCAGGTAGTCAAGTATTAGAATATTTAGTTTTGCTGTATATATACATTGCTTATTAAGTAACAGAACTATTGGCTAAGTTATACAGTTTCCTTGAGAATATGAAACTAATTTTCTAGTTATGGGTTTTATACACCGGGAATAGGGTAACTCCCATTCTGAGTTAATTGATATCTTGGTCTGGCTTTGGCTCAGGTCATGATCTCATGGCTCATGGGTTTGAGCCCCTTGTTGGGCTCTGTGCTGACAGCTAGCTCAGAGCCTGGAGCCTGCTTTTGATTCTGTGTCTCCCTCTATCTCTGACCCTCCCCTGGTCACACTGCCTCTCTCTCTCTCTCAGAAATAAATAAAACATTAAAAAAAGTCTCTGTTGGTTTGTTATCTAAGCTAACCCAAAATATTACTACAAATACAGAAGAAAATAGTAGTAAGAAGAACCAAATACTATGTAGGAATAAACAAGCAATAGAAAGAGAAGAGAAGAGGTGATTGCTTCCTGTTGCACATTGTAAGAATTAGACAACTCCCAAGTGTTTATCAAGAATCTGGAATGTATGGAAAATTAGTACAAGATGTAAACCCTATACTTCAGGATTTTGTCATTTACTTGGGGAAATATATATGAAACAAACAGAACAGTAACTAATAATTAGTTGTTATGAGGTGTGAAATTTTATCAGAAAAAAATAAAATTAATGTGGGTCAGAGTTTTTCTGAAAGGTTTTGTAAAATGTTCTAAGGCAGTTTTAAAGGATTTTGAAAATACTTGGATATAGATGCAAATACCAAGATAATGCTTTTGGGGAAAATATAAACTCAGGAAGAGGAAGTGCTGTCATGGGGTGGATAATTCCAGTTGCTGCAGAGCATTTGAATAATTCTTATTCAAGTTGACATTGAGACTTCATGGTTGAATTGAAGTTATGACATGATGTCTGTGGGAGTGTCCTTGGAAAAAATGTACATTCTGTAACTCATCATTTAAAGAATGATGATTCAATAAGACCATAACTATAATGTATGTACTTTTCCTTTATAACTGACAGGACTTCTGTGATTATGGGGCTGAAAGGAGAAAAATAGCATGACTACTGAAATTTTGGCTTTGTTCAAAATGGAAGAAGTTTGTCTTGTTTCAGCAGTAACACTGTCCTTTGGTGGAGAACCACACCAGTCCACAGTTTCTATTTCTGACACTTCGAAGCAAATCAAAAGGAAGGAGAGATGCATATGAGATGATTTATGTATAATATAAATACGTTCAAATCTTTAAGTTTTGTTTTAAAAAATAACTTGACAGTAAGTATTATATTGCATTTGTATTTGTTACAGATGATATTTCTATTAGCTGTTTCAAGAGATAAATTCCTGAATCTCAGTGGGTTGGTAAAATGGAAAGTTTGTTTCAAGATACAAAGTCCAAAATTCAATATACTTGAAGAGAACAGGTAGCAGTTCTTATAGTGGTGATTATGCCAGTTTGGACAACTTAAGGTTTTTTTCCTAGGAATCTGTTTACTTCATATAAATTTTTTAACTTATTTGCAATATCACTTCTCAGCCTTTTGGCTAAGATCAAGTGTAAATTTATTTGCAATAAAATAGCTATTTCACAACTTGTTTTTAAGACCAACATAACTTTGATTACAAACTTAACAATGACATTAAAAGATAGGAAAATTGTGACATTCTCTCTCAGAAGCATGGATGCAAAACTCCTAAACAAAATAGTATATGAAACCCAGTGATACATAAAATGTATAATAAATTGCCATCAAGTTGAAATTATTCCAGAAATATAAAGTTGGTTTAACATGTAAATATCAACCAATGTGATTTACAACACTGATCAAATAAAGGTAGAAAAGAGGTACGATGATCTCAATTATGTAAAAAACCCACATTTGATTAAATTTGAAATTCACTTATTATAAAACGTGTCAAACTAAAAACACAAGATTACTTCTTAATCTCATAAAGTGAGAGCAAACATCCTGCTGAATGGTTCAACACTGAAAGACTCTCCCTGAAATTGAGGGAAAAGGAAGGATGCTTGCTGTTATTTTTTTTCAACAATGTACTAGAGTTCTATGACATAAGGGTAAAACAATGAATCAGTTAACCAATGAACCAAAATGAAATAAAAAATACAAGCAATGAAAAAGAAGTAGTAATTCTATTTTTATGTGCAGATGACTTGATGATATAGGTGTATGGTAAATATTCAAGGGAAAGTTCAAATTAGAAAAAATAAATAAATCAGCTTTCTAGAAAGAAGTTCAATATAGAAAAATCAATTGTATTTCTATATGCCAGCAACAAGCATAACATGAAGTTTAAAGAATAATACCACTTACAATAGGATGGAATAAATCAAATACAGTTGACCCTTGAACAATACAGGTTTGAACTGCACAGGTTCATTTACAGATTTTTGTCAGTACTATATGTGTGTCTTCTCTTTCTTAAAGTGTGTCAGTTACAGGTCAGGTTTTATTATACTGGCCCTGGTTCCCATGATGGTTTCTGTTCTTGAGTCTTGACTCAACTGAGTCTCTCTCGCCAATATTTGGGGCAGTTGTTTGCTCTGTGTCCTTCTGTCTATTATAGATCCAAATTGAATTGTTGATTTCAAAGTCTGTTAAGCTTTTGGGGCGCCTGGGTGGCTTAGTCGGTTAAGCGTCCGACTTTCGCTTAGGTCATGATCTCGCGGTTCGTGGGTTCGAGCTCCGCGTCGGGCTCTGTGCTGACTGCCAGCTCGGAGCCTGGGGCCTGTTTCAGTCTGTGACTCCCTCTCTCTCTGACCCTCCCCTGCTCATGCTGTCTCTCTCTCTCTCCTAGAAATAAATAAAAACATTTAAAAAAAAAGTCTGTTAAGCTTTATACTTATGGTTTGGATGGAATGGTAACTTCCAAGCTCCTTACATACAGAATTGCAATATCCAGAGAACTGACATATCCAAAAGAAAAAAGATAAATAACCCAACAGAAAAAAAAAACAACCAATATAGATATAAGAATTCTCAGAAGAGGAAGCCCAGAATAAGAATGAGAGTTATTCTCACTTGTAACTAGGGAAATTTAAATGTAAACTATAATGAATACAATTTCATTTACATCAGAATGATGGCAATACTAGTTATATTAAAATGGATACCTCATGAAAAATTATTTGACGGAAACTTCTGCCTACTTATAGCTGATGTCAACTGAGGAAGAAGAAGCCAGTATAATGAATTGGCCAAACAGATTTAGGATTATCCCAATTTACCATAAAGTTGTTTCTTGGGTGTACCTTCTAGGTGACCGATCTAGGACTAGGCTGTTATTTTTTTCTAAGTAGTCAAGTCGAGGAAGTTTGTGATTCCCTGGATGACTGCTCTCTTGAAACCATAGAAATATGGTAGTCATTAGTACTAGTCAGACAAGTTTCATCATATTTGTTCTGTACATTTCACCCAGCAATTAAAAACAGACCAATCAACACTGGATATAGCACATAAACCTGTGAAACATTGACCACCCTAAAAGCTACACCAGGAGGTCCTTATTTTAACTGTCACTATCATCGTTGTCATCATCATCACCATCATCACCACCACCACCACCATTGTCCCTGACACCACCACAACAATCAGACTATTATGTACAGGTAAATGGGATTTTATCTGGAAGGTTAAGTCTACAAACCCTAGGAAGTTGCTAGAGTATTTTATAGCTTTTTAAAAACTGGTTGCTTTCTATAAATTAGATTTTTATTTCTAGACACTGCTAAAAAACATGCTATTGTTTTTGAGGTCTAAAGGCTCTATAAAGTCTCTGGGAAAGTTTTAGAAAGTTGGAAAAAAATCCAGTTTCAGCAAAATTTTGCTTACTTGTTTTTATAAGAACACTACCATTTTTGTTCTTTAGTAATGTAATTAAAGCCATATCTTCTAATATGAAAATGTTTTCTTGGAAGTAATTTAAAAATATAAATTACATTATGGATTTTTAGAATAATGTACTTTATAACCCAGCTCCTGAATTGGCAGCTGGCAAACTGCAGAGGGGCTCAGAACTTCATAGATTTTCAAATAATTTCCTTCTGTAGGCTTTCTGCTTTTCTAGAATTCCAGGGGAAATTTAGAGGTGGATACTATTCAACTCATTTGATCATTAATTTCTCTGTTCCTTATTCACAACTCTTTCCCTAATGATTTAAAGTCCTCTATGGACTTTATCTTTATAAAATTTGTGGAATTTTGCACTGGAATCTTGCTTTTTTAACACACTCTTCACTGTATGATAGAATTCAGGTGCATCTAATTCAAATGGTCTGTAAAGGAAGTTCTAATAAATGAAAACTACAGTTATGGTTATGCTTTGCAGTTTAACTGCTAATGCAATATCAGAAGGTAGTTTTAAGAAAATCTGATCTAGGAAATGATTCCTGGTAGGAACTGGGGGGATAAAGTATAGTGAGACTGATGTTTTAAAATTGTGAATCGTGTAGTTACCATTACTTTTATCCACATTATCATTGCAATTGATTAAGGTGAATGGTTGATTATGCCAGAATAGTGATTAGCTCTTACTTGAATTAGACTCAATACAAAAATAGGCAGTTATAGTTAATTAAGTATATAGAGTTGGTTAAATTCACTGTAGATTAATTTTTAACTAATTCTCTTGGTTAAATGAGTTCATCCTAGAAAGCAGGTTTCTGTTTTTAAGAATGGCCAAGGGGCATGTAGGTGGCTCAGAAGGTTAGGAATCCAACTCATGATTTCGGCTCAAGTCATGGTCTCAAGGTTTGTGAATTATAGCACTGCTTAGGGCTTTGTGCTGATAGTGTGGAAACTGCTTGGGAGTCTCTCTCCCTCTCTCTCTGCTCCACCCCCCAACTCTCTCTCTCACTCTATCAAAATAAACAAACTTTTTAAAAAAATGGCCAAAATTAATTTGGTAAATAATAAAGTAAGTTGTTTCCTGAATGGAACTTTTAAAATATTTAGAACTTCATTTTAATAATTTTAGTCATTATTCAAAAATAATAGTCAATTCCTAGAGCCCATGCATTATATTTACTAGAGGAAGCGTTGAATAAATCATATACCACTGTGATCTTTTAGATATAAAAGTATCTCCTTAATTGTTTATGATAGGTAGACGTCCATAATGAGGGGGAGAAAAGCAAAAGTGCTGTAGTCAACAATATGCATTCTCTACCACTTCTCAAACCTTCTAAAAGGATCTTTCAAAGAAAAATATTTTATAAGCTGTAGCATGGTGATTATTTGTATAGAAACCATTTCAGCCACTTTAGAGTCACCGCTCAAGCTACATAGATGTTTAAGTCCCTCAAACAAATTTGCATGTCTCAGAAAGACTAGACTAAGTTACAACTGGCTAATCCAAAACAAATAGAGGCCTCAATATCACAGTAAACTTTTCTGGATATTAAAAGAGACATATTATCAGATACTCATAAGGTTATAAATATTGTCATTAATTACCTGAATTGCATGCTCCTTGTTGAGTGTGATTTATCTAGTGTAAGAAACATAATACTTGAATAGACTTTTTGCTCTGAGGATGAGCTTAAACAGCAGGATTCCACTATGAGGCGTGCATACAGTGCGTCTGAAAAAGGGAGTTCCTGTGAAGAGTTTTGACAAATAATGCCAGTTTTTGGAAACACTCATTAACAAGTCATTAAAGGGGTGTAAAGAAGAAGTAGGATTAAGAGTAGAGAACAGGGCAGAGAGGAAATAAGACTGGGTGGAGTTGCACAGTTGTGTCATAAGGTAATTTTTTTAAAGGAACTTGTCTACCTAAAAATAAATTGGTCTTAGAGGAATGAAAACAAAACTATTCACATATTCATAGGGAATATCTAATCTGCCAAATATATCCCCTGATTACAAACTCCTCTGTTTTCCAAGTTTTGTTTAAGATGATGAACACAAAAGATTGAGGAAACAGCTGAGGCTATTTTGAAATTTGAAATAAGATTTTTATGTGTATGTGTTACAGCTCTTACTCCAATTCAGCAATTTCATGACATCATGTTTTTCAAAATGTAAGGAATAACTAGTGTCCAAACTTTATATAGATTAGACTAAGGGTAGTGATAAGACCTAATTGTAACCCTAGATCACTCTATTAGGGTGATACCAAGTCACCTTATTTTCTGATTATTTTTTATCTAATTAATTGGTTTTGATGATGAAATTTGCCTGTTTCTTAATTTATATGATACAAACAATCCATGTTTATTATAGAAACATTAGAAAATATAGTTGGGAAAAAAGTAAACAAAAAAAGAAAAAAATCTACCCATAATCTCATAACATGGGATAACTCTGGTTGACCTCATGATTTTCCCTTCAAATTTACTTAAAACTTATAAATGGTTATATCATGTATTTGTTTATAAGTCTATATATATATTTATGTACATGATGTGATTATAGTTTACAAAAATACAATCAGACCACACCAAACGTTTTGTGACCTGCTTTAGATAAATAGAGCAAATTAATTTCTCTTCAGCAACATGAGGACAGAAACCATGTCTATCTTACCCACTGCTATATCCTTAGAATCTAACATAGCTAATAAGTCAAATATGATTTGTTAAAGGAATGAACATTAGAGTCTATTTTCTTTGAGATGTTTAAGCCTTATATATTTCATACTAACATAAAAGCCTAATCATAAATTATAAATTGTATTGTATGAAGTAAGGAGAGCCAGGTAAATTTAGACTGTCTATCCCTTCTGATCTGAGCCATTTTCTTCTTTTCATAGGTATGGTATATTCTCCCAGAGAAGATCTTGGCCAGTATGGATGGTGATTCTTATCTTTATTGGAGTGACAACAATCTTGGGAGTAACTGTTGGTCTCCTTGTTCATTTTCTGGCAGTTGGTCAGTATTGATTACTTTACATTTACACCCTTACTACTAAATCTCCTTCACTTTTAGAAATTGATAAGAAACAATATGAATATTAAATTTCTTAATGGAAGTTTTATTATCTATAACTATGTTCCAACATAATTATTCTCTATTATTTAATATCAAGGTTAAAAAATTTTTAATCGAAAGCCTCCTTCAGCAAGACTGAAAAGCTCAATACTTTGATGCCAAAATGCATTGTCAATAAAGAAACATATGTAGTAGGTTAGTAGTTGAGCTCTTATGACTTTTAGTAAATATACCTAAAAACTTGGTAATCCTTACTCTTCTTGGATCAGTTCTGATGGTTAAGATATAATTGCAAAATAGGAATGGATAATCCACAAATGGCTGATCTACTGGCAGATAATAGAAGTGGCTGAATGGCTGAATGTTTATATAAATTTGACGTTACTTAAAAAAAATTTTAATACTACACTCAGAAAGTTTGGCTTTCTATTTATAACTTTCAAAAAAATAAACCCTTAAATCTGTGTACCTATTAAATATTTTCAAATAAATTTGACATCCATTATTCCACTTGGCCCTCATAATAATCCTTTGAGTGAGGGAGGGTAGATTTTACTTTCTCTGTTTTCACATGCAAAAAACCAAGACTGAGAAAAGTCAAATGCTTGTTATCACAGGCTTTTAAGTGTCATAAATGAGCATGAACCCAGACCTTAACATTTAAGTGTATTATTCTACTTTATCAAAAGATTTTGTTTTATTCACCTGAAAGACATTACCCTATACGATAATGAAGTGTAGGATACTTTTGCCTAATACAGTGACAATTCTAGTTTTTCCTTCATTCTGGCCTCTCCTTTGTGTTCTCTAAACATCTTGATCTCCAATTTCAAAACTTGTCCTTCAGAAGGGTCATGTATGCTCACAGTCTCTTGCATGCCATGTTTGTCCCCCTACTCTCTGTAGCCTGGATTCATTAAAGAATAACATCCATTATATAATTTCCTTAAGGAAAGTGCTCTGAATTTACCAAATCAAGCCCAGTGAAGAAGCCCATGAGCTTAATTAGTTATCCTTTCAAAATATAATTTGCATTTTAATAAGCCCCTTCTTCTGGAGAACCAATGCATTCATGAACAGGAGATAAAAGGAGAACTCTAGGCATCATGGTTTAAGCAGGACATGTGTGGGATGAGAATTTGCCATTGACTTTATATGGTGAACCACCTACCATTTCAAATACAAGGCTATATGGGCTTATATTAACTGAAGTTAATTGAACTAGACTCCTTGTGAAGTAAAAATGGGCACTCAAACTCTGTTGTCAACTTGAAGATAGGTTTTCTCTCAGATTCTGGCTTAGGAACCAATACAGTCTTTGTTAATACTAAGAACAATTTGAGTTGGATGATACCTAGAATAATCTTTCATTCAAGTGGTATGAAATTCGCTTCTCTGTCTGAATATATCTGTTATTTCTCAAGATATTATTTTTGAATTTCTACTTCTTGGATTACCTCAGAAATTAATATTCCAAAAAGATCATTATTCTAAAAATGACTCTGACTCAGCTCTTTCTTAACTATTTTATTCAACTAAACTATTTCCAAAAGCTTACACAGAAATTTATAAATAATTCAAAACTCCTTCAGATTGTTTATCTAGTAATGCTAAGCCCTGGCTTTGTCTCAGATACACCTGTAGAGCTCTTCTAAAGTAGCGTCCATTCCTTGGGCCCTTCTCTTATGTTTTCTGATTCAATGGAACTGAGGAAGGACCTGCCCATGTGTGCTTTTAGAAGTTCTGTAGTTATTCTGATATATAGATAGTGTTGCAATCTATGCGTCTAAGTCAATATATTATAAAGGTAATAAAACATATTTCTATCTTAAAATAGAAGATTTTATTATAAACTTTGGGATGGTGGCAGATTATGATGTAAATGCTGACTATTGCTATGTCTGTGAAACTGACTATGATTTTATAGGCCACAGTGTAGGGTATAGGGTAAATTCTCATTCAATTTATCTAAATAATTGTATTATTCAGCTCAGGCTGCCATAACGAAATACCACAGACTGAGTGGCTTAAACAACAGGTATTCATTTTCTCACAGTTTGGAAGCTGGAGGTCCAAGATCAGAGTGCCAGATCACTGTCACCTCATATGGCCTTTTTTTCTGTGGCGTATGGGGTCGGGGGGGTAGTTTTTGGTGAAGGAGAGAGAGGGGGATGGGGACTCTGGTGTATCCTCTTACAAGGCTACTAGAATTTGATGTAACCCTATGGCCTGATTCATGATCTGATTTAATCTTAGTTACCTTATTAAAGACCATATCTCTAAATATAGTCACATTGCGGATTAGGGCTTCAACATATGAATTTTAAGGGGACAATTCAGTTCACAAGGATAATCAAGGGTGGGATGCCTGGATGGCTCAGTTAGTTGAGCGTCCAACACTTGATTTCTGCTCAGGTCTGCTCCCAGGGTCGCATCGGGCTCTGTGCTGAGTGTGGAGCCTACGTAAAATTCATACTCTCCTCACTCCCCCATTCCCCCATCATCTTCTCTCCAGCTTGCACTCTCTCTTTCTAAAATAAAATAAAATAAAATAATAAAAATCAAGTAAAATAAGCTTAAAAATTGCCCCTCAAATCAATCTGATTTTCAGTAATATAACTAGACTCAGATATCTGAACATTATGGTTTCTTTGAATATGGGTATGACACACGTAACCTTTGACAAATTAATCTGCTGACCTGTAAATAACCAAGTTGAGCATACTGGATATAACACAAAATTAGCAGATTCCAGTTGATCAGTCTTCTGTTTGATGAAAGACTTCATAAATTAAAATGATGAAGTGGTATGAAAGAGAACCTTGGAGTTTATTTATTGTGATTTAGTCTTTGTGATTACTGGAAAAAAAATCCCAGAAAGCTAAAGTAATATACTAATATGGGACAGCCCTTAGGTGGCAGGACTTAAACTAGTTCCTCTAACTTCACATGTATTATTTTTTCAGAATGACCTTAGGTAACTTCTTAGCTAGAACCTAGCATTTGTTTCTCATATATACCAGTTGCCATAAGGAAAAATATAGGAAATACCACTGTAATATAGGAAACTAAGTTTTATTTTAGATTGAAATGATATTTCTAATTCCCAGGATAATGCATTATTTCATCTCAGAGATGATATATGTTTCAAAGTCTATTATTATTAATACTCCTTAGAGACTCTATGGTGCTTTATAAGATGAATCGAAAGTACAGTTGCTCTCAAAATATATGAATGGCTAATTGCTTAACCAAAACAAAGTACCATTTCATATTAGTTTCTATTTTTAAAAGTACATTTCATAATGTGGAAGAACTACCTCTAGGCTTGTCCGATTTTAATATTACAGTGACCTTAGTATATTAGGTGAGGTATTTTATATTTGAGGACAGGAAGGAATGGGGAATGTGAGACTTATGATGCTCACCAAACACCAGCCAACATATGTGCTGGAGGGAAGTAGGATGGTAGCAAAAATTCCTCAAGGAATGACTTTAAAGAGTGGAAAGCAGGCGGATATGAAATGGGGCAGAAGAAAAGTTATAAAAGGGTGTAGATCATCCAGAAAGTGAAGGGAAATGTTTGTAATGTTTCCTGTCTCAGAAGTGCTTAGAAAGATTAACTGGGTAATTACTAGATCGAGAATTTAGATTACATATGAAAAATAGGTTTCATTTCTAGTGCACACTCAAGTGAATTGTTAGTGGCTGCTTGGATCGCTGTTTTGCCGTGGCTGCTGAGGGTATACCTGGCTTAAGCAGGGCAGTGATGTCTATTATCATATGAAGAAAGGAGGGGGACCACTTCATGAATGCTGGGTAGTTGACATTTCTAAAATGGGTGGATATTCACTCCCCTTCATTTCCCTTTTCATCCTTTCTCCCTTCTTCTGATAGTTTAAAAATCTGGGTTGAATGTTAATTTTGAGACAAAGGTATGGAGGGATTTGAGTCTACTTGTTATTTTAAAATTCTTTGAGTATTTCTTTGTTTCACAGGAAAGACTTTCTATTATCAAGGTGATTTTCATATTTCTGGAGTTACACACAATGATAATTGTGAATATGGAGCTTCACAAGCCAGCACAGATCTGAGCAAAAATATAGAGACTAAGGTAAGTCAGAGACTCCTTTTAATAATTTCATAATAAATTTGATTGAAACAGACATGATGGAGTTTGTTTTTTTCTCTTGACAGATGTCTGATGCTTTTCAAAATTCTAGAATATATAAAGAATATATCAACTCTCAGGTCATCAAACTTCGGTAAGTACAAATTCAATTAGGATATTATAGAAAGAGATGTGGATGATATGTCACATCAACTGTGGTTTTCAATAACAACAATAGAAAAAATAGAAAGAGAGAAGGAAAGAAGGAAAGGAAGAAAGAAAGAAAGAAATCTCCATAAATTAAAATATTGATATTAACAAATTTCTGTTCAGAGTAGTAACTGTTCTGTACAAATCTGTCATCTCCATACTTGAAGTGGAATTATAAAGCTGTTGGTAGTAGCCAGTCCTAATTGACTGCTATGATGAAAGATAATTGTAACTCTGTGGCAAACAGAGTCCAACCTTATTGTTTTGTTATTCACATACTAGCCTCCTCTTTTTCCATCCATTCCCATCTGGCAATACCTTTGTAAAATAACCTTCTTTTGGTCTCCTTAGTAATTACAATCACCATAATGACTGTGGAGCAAAGTGAATAATTTAAGATAATATTTGTCTAAATATGTCTCTGAAGTGTGTTTGAGTATGGGGATGGATAGGAGGGATGCAGCCAGGAGGTATCATGGAGCACTGAGTATGAGCGACAAAGGAGAGTACTTGTATTTTCGTCAGTGCCAATATCCATTTGGGGAGGAAGTTCTGAAGTCCCAAAATAAAACAAACAAAAAATCTAGCTTGCCAAGAAACCAACCAACTAACCTATTTAACTATAGACAAACAGAAACCGTCAAAGAGTCTTGTATTGATCATAATTATTTGAAAACAGAGTTGTGGATATATTTTTTAAAATTGTAATTTGTTTTGAAAGTCTCCCAGAATGAATTAATCTCTTTTCCTAATAAAAAGGATGTAATGAATATATAGATAATGGAGATTCTCTTTTTGAGTTAGTGTTATCTTTCTGAGCTTTCTCATTGTGCAGTTTTATTGGGGTAGAAATATATAAGAAACTATAAGGAGAAGCTTAGTACTGGCTCCTAAATATATGCTAGGAGTTCTCTTTTGAATGATTTCTGGTCCTGCATTTATGTTTCCATTTATCTCTTTATCTAAAGTTATTAGAAAATATTTGCAAAAGAACACAGTTTTTACTGTTATAATAAAATCCTACACCAATAATTTGTTGGCCAGTACTCAGTTTCTTATGTGTGTTTGAATTATTCTAATTTCTAGTTTGTAGTTCACATCTTCCATGAACAATACCTTTGAGCCAGTTAGATTTTTAGGGATACCTGCACTTTATACATACTGAGATAATATCTGTGTATTGTTCTTTAATATATACGTAAAGGAAATATGATGATTAAATGTGGGAAATTCCATGTGTTCACAAGACATCTTAAAAAATCAAAGAACAACACACTAGAACATTTCTGTTGTTTCTAGTCCTGATCCCAATGGTTCAAGTGTACAGTTACAGCTGACATTCAAGTTTTCTCCAGCAAAGAGGCAGAGCATGAAGACTGAAATCAAAGCTATCCTACATCAGATATTGAAAGACAACATGGCATCCTGGAACTCAGTCCCTACTTCCCTTAGACTCACAGGTATTTCATTTATTTCCATTATTTTCTATTACTTAGGTGTTTGGACTGTTTGAAAAAACATTTTAGAAAAAAAATGAATGAGCAATTTCAGGAATTTGCTTTGGGGAAAAATATACTTCTCCAATTTTGGCACTCCTTCGAATGAGTTGTCATGGAAGGGACAGTGGCATAAAATCTTTGAAGAGTAATAGAAGTGAGGGCTAGAGTATGGGCATGAATGTAAGCTTGGAAGTCTTCGTGTTTATGGTTGAAAAAGGGAATGAAGGACCCTAAGTGAAGCATTATTCCTCCCTTCCCTCTACTCCTGTCAGGAGCTCATTTCAGGAAACAGATTTAAGGCTTACTTGATCATTCAGTGTGGAGACTGCTAGAGTAAGAAGGAGGTTGAGGATATGGAGTTCTCACTGCTCTTGTGGAAGAATGGAAATGATACTATCAAAGAAAAAACAATTTCCTGGAATAATTTCCTAGAAAACAAGGGAAGAAAATGATAAATGATAGGATTTTCCCCCAGTACAGAAAATGAAGTCTGTAAATATCTTGAAGGTCCGGCAAAGGTCTCGAAACTCTCATTTGGATTGCTGAAAGGCCTGTTAGGTGATAAGTGTGTGGTTCCAGAACCCAGTTTTGCGGTTCTTCCAGACCTACAGTTGATTCTAGTGTCCTTTAAAGCTATCAGGCTGACAATTGGCAATTAAAGCTCCTTTACCTCAGTATACCTGTTATCACTGGATCACTCAGTAGAAGAGAGTTTGAGGTAGAGCTTCTCAAAAGAACAGTACAATTCCTTTGTGGGGAGCTATTGGGAAAGAAGGTTGCTCCTCTCTGTTCTAGAGATTTAAAGTCAGCAATTGCTAGTGGGTATTTTGTAGTTTCCTACTCTTTCTCTTTCTCTCTTTGTCTCTAAAGTCTCTTCCCAATAAGAAAGAGACTTGAATTTAAGTTAAATTCTCAAAATTTCCTAATTCAGTCATGGTAGTGAGATGACTCTAAAGAAAAGGACAGCTCAATGAAATATGATTTTAATTGGAAAGATTTTCTTTACAGGTAACTTGGAGTAATTCAGATGAGAATTATCATAAGGAAATAAACCCAAAGATCATTAATTCCAGTGCTTCTTTTAGTGAGAATGTTATCTTACTAAATATTTTACTGCAACTATCATAAAATTGAGAGTTTTGTTTTTTATTTCCTTTTCCTCTTTCCTTTACTACCTGGTAGAGATGTGAAGAGATGTTCAAAATATAACAAGTAGAAAGGAGAGAGGCTGATAGCTGATATGTGAACTGGTCTGAATACTTAAATGTTGGGCGTAATTGGGCTAGGAAAGTTAGCATGTATGTCCTTGGTTTGAAGATAATTGCTTGGTGATATTTTATTAATTTTATGTTTTGTTTTAATTTCAGAAATCAGCAAGGCTAATGTTGAAATCCTTACCAACAACTGTAAGTTTAGGAGCTATGATAAACTTAACTCATTCACAAATATTTCCCTGTCACTTTCCTAAAAAGTATCTTGAAATATGTCATGTGGAAATCTATAGTAGTCTTTCAAAATTATTGGCTATATCAGATATACATCTGGAATTTCTTTTTGAAAAACATTGACCAATGAATTTTAACTTCTGTAAGGAGTTGTCCAAAAGAATGAAATAAGAGCTGATTCCAAAGAATGGAATCATGAGTGAAGAGTATCATATCTGGGTTAGTTAATATAAAAAAAAATTAAAGGGAATAAAAGGACAACTAAGGATAATAAGAAAATATAAAAGTAGGCTATCCCAAATACATTTATTATAGGATAAAAATAGTTTTGTATCTTCAAAATAAATTCTCTTTAGAGTATCATGTTGCCCACAAGATACATCCATGCATTCTTTCACTTAATGGATATTTATGGTGTATCTATTATCCACATGGGGCTTTACAGACATTCCAGGAAAGACATAGCATTGTTTAGGAGATTCTGGACAATCACTGAAGGGTTTCAAGTCATGTTTTAAGACGTATTTCTCATAAAGAATAATCAAAGGTAGCAGCTCTTATCTGAATATATCTTCTTCAGGTTGTGGGAGACAAGCCAACAGTTTCATAGCAGGCAACCGAATTGTGAATGGGAAGAATGCCCTAGTGGGGGCATGGCCATGGCAAGCCAGCATGCAATGGAAAGGCCGGCACTACTGTGGGGCATCTCTGATCAGTAGCAGGTGGCTATTATCTGCAGCTCACTGCTTTGATATGTAAGTGTGAACATCTGACTCAATGTAAGATTTAGAGTAAACTATGGGGATTAACCTAAATACATGAATGCTCACCAAAGCCAAGTGAAATTCAGAATTACCTGCACAACCAAAGGGCAGCAGAGGCATTTAAATTTGTCAAAGAGGAAAAGGTGAAAGGAAGCAATTCACGTTTTCTAAAAAGCTACTTTGGCCTGATATTAAGTGCTTTATTTACATAATTTTATTTAATCATAACAATAATTCTGTATGGATGGTATAATTTAACCTATTTAAAGATGAGGAAAGTAGGGTTCAGAAATGTTGATATAACTTGGCAAAGTTCATACAGTTCCTAAATAACAGAAATTCAATGCGAGCCTTGTTATATCTGACTCCAGTTACTTTGTGCTGATTTTTCTTGCTCTTTAGAGGTTTACTACCTAACTGTAGATGGCTGGCTGTTTGTTTGTTTGTTTGTTTACAAATAGTTTATTGTCAAGTTGGTTTCCATACAACACCCAATGCTCATCCCCACAAGTGCCCTCCTCCATGTCTATCTCCCCCCACCACCCATCAGTCCTCAGTTTGTTCTCAGCATTCAAGAGTCTCTCATGGTTTGCCTCTCTCCCTCTCCCCCACTATTTCCCCCCTTTCTCCCCCATGGTCCTCCGTTAAGTTCCTCCTAATCCTCCTATACGTGCAAACATACGGTATCTGTCCTTCTCTGCCTGACTTATTTCGCTCAGCATAACACCCTCAAGGTCCATCCACGTTGTTACACATGGCCAGATTTCATTGTTTCTCATTGCCATGTAGTATTCCATGGTATAGATAAACCACATCTTCTTGATCCATTCATCTGTTGATGGACACTTAGGTTCTTTCCATGTTTTGGCTCTTGTTGAGAGTGCTGCTATGAACATTGGGGTACATGTGCCCCTATGCATCAGCACTTCTATATCCCTCGGGTAAATTCCTAGCAGTGCTATTGCTGGGTCACAGGGGAGTTCTATTGTTAATTTTTTGAGGAACCGCCACACTGTTTTCCAGAGGGGCTGCACCAGTTTATATTCCCACAAACACCAGACCTTTTAAATATAAATCTCAGGAGGTGGAGCCTGAATTGATTCTAAGGGAGTGGAGTTTAAGAAACAATTGAGTGTGTGGAGTCACTGAAGGTGATAGAACGGGAGAAGGATTGAACAATGTCACCATTCCATGAAGTTTTTAGAAATTAAAATCAAACAACAAACAAACAAACAAAAAACAGCATCTGACATTTTGAGGGAAAGTGAGAATAGTTAGACAGTATGTTAGGTCCTAAATTGAGAACAAGTTTCAGTGGGGAACTGGAGAAATGACCAGAAAATTTAAATTAGAAGTCAAGATGTATTGACTTGGTAAACATAATGGGGTAATTGGGTGAGAACAAGTGGCAATTTTTTAATGTACAAAGATGCAGGGTCATGGAATCCAAGTGATTCTGGGCCCAATCCACTGAGGCCGCTCATATGATTCCTACCTAAGTCAACTGCTCAGGAACTGGATGGGGCTTTAGTAGCAGAAGACATCAGTGACTCTACTTAGGAGTATTTGCAGGAGGCTGACAGCTTTGTCCTTTAACCATTTTATTTGTAACATATCCATGTCAAGGCATCTTTAAAAATTAAAATTTGGTGCTTTCTAGTGTTGGTTGGGAGCCTCATGCCTTAAAGTTATGAGATAATGAGTACCATGAACACCGTTGTTGCTCAAAAACTACGTATATTTTAACTAAATTGTGTTTTCCAGGAAAAATAATTCAGGAGATTGGACTGCCAACTTTGGAACTGTAGTAAATAAACCATATATGACACAGAAAGTCCAAAACATTATTTTTCATGAAAATTACAGCAGACCTGGGGTTTATAATGATATCGCCCTTGTGCAGCTTGCTGAGGAAGTCTCTTTTACGAAGTACGTTCGTAGGATTTGTCTTCCTGAAGCCAAAATGAAGCTTTCAGAAAATGCCAGTGCTGTAGTTACAGGATGGGGATCACTTTATATGAATGGTAAGTTTTTCTGTAAAAAGGTAATCACTTCATGGGAATAATTATTTCAATAGTCAATCAGTTAACCAATCAATCACTGCTTCATGCAATTAGTCAGTCAGTAAATATACAAAAACAAAACAAAAAAAGAAGCAAGTATTGGGACCAAAAGCTTGGCACTGTCTTGGATTTCTAAAATGTCTCTGGGAATAAGAACTGGAAAATCTGGAATTACGTGTGAGGCAGTCAGCTACAATGAACACCAGAAAGAGATTAATCTACCCTAGGGCTGACCTGGTTCTTGCTGACAAAAAGTTTAAAAAATATCTATCTGTCTATCATCTATCTATCTATCTATCTATCTATCTATCATCTATCTATCATCTATCTATCTATCTACATACAGGAAAATATATAGTATATTCTATAGATATTCTTTGTCTCTACAACCAAGTTTAAGATCCCCATAATAAACAGAATTTTTGCCGTTAGGTCCCTTGCCAATGATACTTCAAGAAGCTTCTGTGAAGATTATTGACAACAAAGTTTGCAATGCTCCACATGCATTAGGTGGCCTCGTGACTGATGAAATGCTATGTGCGGGATTTATGTCAGGAAAAGCTGATGCCTGTCAGGTATGTCTAGACACATTATCAAATTGTTTTCTCCCAAAGTACTAATCAAATTGAAGTGTTTATCAATACAAAAATTTTTTGTGTTAATGATTTCCGTAGAGTAGCTTATTTTTATTCACATAACAGACATTTATTAATCCCACTTATGTATCAGACATTAGCCTAAATGCAAGGGATGCATTGCTGAACAAAATCCCTGCCTTCATGGCCTTTTCAGTCTAGGAATCCAAAGAAAGGATAATACTTACACAGTGATATAAATTTGGCCCTATTTTCTGGGCCATCTGCACAATATGGTGCTGTCTCTTCCTTATCCACAAATGTGGCAGGAGGTTTACCATGTACATAAGTCACCCATTCCTCAAGCTTCATTATGAAGCAGACAAATCACTTTTGATCCATAGTCAAGGCTGAACTTATTATAAGGTCAAATTCCGGTCAGTCCAACATATGGCAGCTGTGGGCAATATATTCTGGTTTGTAGTTGCCCTGGGTTTTGAATAAACCCAAGATCCACAGTTCTAAGCCCAAAAGAAAGTGGACTGGGTTCTCAGTACCCAGAGGCTTCTGATAAGTCCAGAGAAGCAATAAAAGGAAATTATTTGACAGGACAAGAAACATGTCTTCCTGTCTTCTTCTAGACTGATTCTGGTGGACCACTAGCTTACTCCGACTCTAGAAATGTCTGGCACCTTGTTGGAATAGTAAGCTGGGGTGATGGATGCGCTAAAAAGAATAAGCCAGGTGTTTATACTCGAGTCACTGCTTATCGTGATTGGATTACATCCAAGACTGGGCTCTGAAAGAAAAATAACTTTGGAATGAACCATAAAGACAACTTCAGGGTATTCTTACTGTTACTTCAAATATTTTTCTCTTTTGACTGTTGATATACATCATTTTCTTACATTCACATACCTAAAGGTCTTTAATATTTTATTATATCTAAAATGCTATCCATTCATTTATCTATTTAATGACTATAGAGAAAAAAAAGAAAAGATGGCCAAAATATTGTTATTAATAGCCTAATTCAGATTTATCTTACCATTATATTTAGAATTTGCCTTAATTCATTTTTCAGAATTTTTTAAATGTTTATTTTTGGGAGAGAGAGCACACATGAATGGGAGAGGAGCAGAGAGAGACAGGGACAGATGATCTGAAGAGGGCTCTGTGCTGAGAGCAGAGTCTGTTGTGGGGCTCAAACTCACAAGCCATGAGATTATGACCTGAGCTGAAGTCAGCCGTTTAACCTACTGAGCCACCCAGGTATACATATTTATCAGAATTTTTAAGAGTATGCATTTTGTTAGTATGAGAACATATATGCTGGATCTAACAAATAATCTGATTTTCATTCTATAAATTATAATTTCATTTTGTTAAGCTGGAATATGTCAGATAAGTAATATATGACCATTTCTTATTTATATATGAGATGGTTTGTGTACCTTCCACAATTATACAATCATGGAGTGGAGAAGGGATGTGTGAGCTAGAACAAGTTTCTTGATTTATAGATAAGAAAACTGAGGACTAGAGAGGAAAATTTACTTGCTGGAAGTCACTCTTCAGCCTCTCCTATAAGTTGTGGCCCTCATATGAACTTCCCCTAGTAGAACTTAGATGCAGAATTAGTAGGGAGTTTTAAATGATTTTTAGGTTGCAATTACTTATATAACATTTTACTCATGTCCTCTTTGTTGTTAATTGTTTGTCATTGCTTGTAGCAAATATGATGTGAAGTCTTCAAGGGCAGGTGACTGTGTGGCATCTATTGTAATGTCTATACTGTATGTGCAAATAAATGTATGGAGGCCTGATTTTGTAGTCTCTGCAAATAATGTACTTATTGTAATTTCCTAAAATAAATAAAAGTAGCTAAAATTTTTAAAAGCAGCAAAATAAGCTAGAAAAAATACTCCTTCCTTCAATTGTTTGTGATGTTACCCTTTTATTCTCTTTTTATTATAAAGTAGGACTCAAATGACATGATGTCAAGCCCATCCATAGCCAGATGTGACAAACTGGTGTTTTTCTCTCCCCACTTCCTTCTGAGGCAGGTCACACATATTTACTGAGCACCTTGTGTGTTCCAGGAACCATCCAGTATAGACACAGTATCTTCTTTCAAGGATGCTCTATTTAGTGGATGAAGATAGGCAATAAACACACAAGTAAGAGAATTCTGGATTCTAATAAATGTAATGAATAAAACAAAAAGTAATATGATAGACAATAGTGAGGCAAATGAGGGGTACCTGAGACCGGACAGCCTGAATAACTTTTCCAAGAGAGTAGCATTTGAGCTGTAAATAAATAATGAAGAAGCAAAACATACAAATCTGGGGAGAAGAGAAATCTGAAGGGAACAAGTATAAAGTCCTTGAGATAGGAATAAGCGAGGTGGATGTGTGGGCAGAAACAAGCAAAAGTGACTGAAGCCTGAAGGTAAATGAGAGATGGTAGAAAGGAGTATCAAGAGGTATGAATTTGACTGGGGGCCCAGTCAAATAGGGTTTTGTAAAGACCTTGGATTTTCTTTTAGCTGCAGTGGGAGGCCCTTGAGTTTTCTAAGCAGAGGTGTAAATGAGACGATCTAATATACACTTTGAGAAGATTAGTTCATCTTTGATGAAGAGAATGGGCTGGAGTGGGGAGTGAAGGTACACAATGAAAAGCAGGAAGACAAATTAGAAAGCTACTGCAGTTGTCCTGGCAAGAAATGAACCCATATTCACCCTTTTCCTTGGGTTAGGAACCTCTCTAGGTAGGATAACAGGAGGAATCCTTTTATAATGCAACTCAAAGTGGAGAAAAAAGGGCATAGAGTTATTTAGCATAATACCACTACTAAGAGATGTAAGAGGTATTACTGGCATTCTCTTGGTCTTGTAATACTGAATTCAGAAGCCAGATATCTGTTATTTCCTTCCACCCCAGCCTCATGAGCATTTTGTCTTAGCTTGGGATGTTATAAAGAATTACCACAGACTTGGTGGCTTAAATAACACACATTTATTTCTTACAGCTCTGGGTCTAGGTGGTCCAAGATTAGGGTGCCAATGGACTTGGTGTATGGTAAGGGCCATGACCGATGATTAGAGTTTCAACATATTAATTGAGGAGTCACAAACATTTAGTCTATGGACCATAGATCTCAGTCTGTCTTCTGCTTCTTCCAGGGGTGGGAATCAGTTGGAACTGAATGAATGATTACTCCAGCATAGAAGTGATGGGAAGTGTTAGTTTTTTATTCTTTTATCTAGCCTCAAATTAACCAACTAGTTTAGCTTTAATAAAGAACTATTAATAATGACTTCCTTGTTCAAGGATTGTATTTACAATAGAAATATCTCCAACTAATCAGCAGATGAAAATTAGATATTTTAACTCATAGGCCAGTATTTTCTTTAGCAACACAGACTTTCATATTAATGCATTTAAGGAATGTTTTCACTGAAAAGTGAGCCAGAAAAGAGAAGATAAAGTGATGCAAAGTATAGCGAATCATTTTAAGTTTATATTTTTTATTTAGTCTTAGATAGAAGCTTAACGGTCCAAAGCTCACTGGAAACTCTATCCCATTGACGGGAGTCACCACTTACCACCTGCCACTATATAAAAAGTTATTACAAAATTATTGACTATATACCCGAGGCTGTACCCTTTCATCCCTGTGACATTTATATTATAACTGGAAGTTTGTACATCTTAATCCTCTTCAACTATTCCTCTTGTCCCTCTACCCTCCTCCCTTCTGGCAGCCACCAGTTTGTTCTCTGTATTTGTGAATCTGTTTCAGTTTGTTAGTTAGTTTTGTTTTTTATATTCCACATATAAGTGAAATCATATGATATTTGTGTTTGTCTGGTTTATGAAACATTTTCTTTACTTGGATTCCAGAAAAAAAAAGAATAGTTTTTTGCAATCTTTCTATGTCATCAGCTATTCTTTCTCAATCTCTACCTCTAGAACTTCTACCTCTTCCACAGCTCTGAACATTGGTGTGCCTCACCGCTCAATCCTCAGGTCTCTTCTCTTCCCTACTTACACACATACCCTGTATCATCATATCCAGCCCAGTACTTTCAATACTAACTACTTGCTGACAATTTAGAAATGTATTAACTTTAGTTCTGACTTCTCGTTGGGCCTTCAGTTGTATGTCCAAAATTTCTACTTGAAGATCTAATAGGCAACTTATATTAGCATTTCAAAACAGAATTCATCATATTTCCTGAGTCTTCTACATCTAAAAAAAAAAAAAGAAAAGGTCCTGGAGTCATCCTGGGTAAGAATATATTTGAAATGCTATCCTTTGTAATTTTCATTGTTGGATTTCCTGTAGACTTACAACCGGACTAGCAAAGGTCTATCCTTAACTTTGGAAATGCCTGGATACATGGCTTTGACTCTTGGCTAAAATAAGGTCAAGGATTTATGTGAGGTTTATATGAGATTTAAAATCAGAAACCGTCCTTGCAGACTTTGGGCCAGTTTGTTTCCTGATCCAAGATCCTGCTGGATCTTGAAGTTAACAGATTTTGATGGTTCAATCTGCAAACAAAATATGTATGTGTGCGTGAATAAGGACAGTGGGAGTTTACACCTGTATCTCTCTTGGTCTCCCAATGCTTGCCTGTTCTCTCTATTGATGTACTATATCCTTTGCTTATTTTATGTAAGTATTCTCTATGGAATACAAATGTTACACAAGCTTTATATAAGTGTTCCCTGTGGAATCTTATGCTTCCTTTCAAATATGTAAACTTGTGAAATCTTTTCAAAGTTTAATATTCAAAAGTGCAGCAGTGGTGTGCTGAAACTAGCTTGTACCAATGTATGAGTTTAATGTTAAAATTTCAGGAATTATGTTAGCTAGTTGTGAAACACACCACAGTTGAAAATTAAGAGTACTAGTGGCACCTGGGTGGCACAGTCGGTTAAGCATCTGACTTTGGCTCAGGTCCTGATCTCACAGCGTGTGGGTTTGAGCCCTGCGTCAGGCTCTGTGATGACTGCTAGCTCAGAGCCTGGAGCCTGCTTTGGATTCTGTGTCTCCCTCTCTCTCTGACCTTCCCCTGCTCACACTGCCTCTCTCTCTGTCTCTCAGAAATAAATAAAACATTTAAAAAATTAAAAAAAAAGAAAATTAAGAGTACTAAATACGCAAAACTCATCATGTCCTAAATATATAACTACAGTTTACTAGTACTGTGGGTCTTGAGGTTATTTATATCTATGGTATCTATATGGTAAAAATAAATATAATAGGGTGTTATTGCTCATCCCTTCCCTGATTCATGTTCAATGATGTAATGTGCATAGTTCTAAATTGGTCACGTTGTCAGTATTTACACCATAGAAATTGGCCAATGCCACAAATTAGTTCCAAACCCATACCCGTGACACCTGGTTGTTAAATACTTACCAGTACATCACTGAATATATCTATTCTTCATTTATGTTCTTAAAAAGTTACCAGATAATGCAACTGGAGCACAGTTTCTATATCTGGACATTACAAACTGGGTTTTGGTCATTGTGCCGGAAGTTTTATTGAGTGGCTTAAGTACTGCCTGCTCATCTCTGAGGTGAATAAAACTTCATACTGGTTTTCATTTTTCATAATTTTAATGCAAAAGGAAGTTCCAGAAGAAGCTATCTTTGAAATATGCCATAATGATTTGTCAAGGACATTTCTGATTTGCAGTTTGTAATACTTAAAGGATTCCAGAAAAGATATTTATATATTTATAACATATATAATTATATGTTTATAACATATATATTTATA